CTTTGGAACAAAAACCTCATTTTGAGTCCTCAATGGTGAAGACGGAAACCATCAGTTTTGGCAGTGTTTCACCAGGAGGAGTAAAGCTAGAAATTTCTACCAAGGAAGTTTTACACTGAAACCAAAACCATCACATATGAACCATCACAGGTCGATCCCGGCACAGATCTGGAGCCGGGCGTGCTGATGAGCGAGCAGACGATCACATCTGAAACCACCAGTACCACCACCACTACGCACATCACCAAAACTGTGAAAGGGGGCATTTCAGAGACAAGAATTGAGAAGCGAAAAGTCATCACGGGAGATGCAGACATTGACCATGACCAGGAATACCTTAGCTTGCACATGAATGCAGCCATGCAAACCATTAGGAAAACCAGAGCCTATGTGGAGTTCCCTCTTCTAACCCAACTGACTTGTATCTGTCCGTGGAAAATTTCAATCCAGAAGAATTGACCTTGACCATTAATAAAGACCCTGGCAGCAGAGAGATCCTCCCATAATAAAGCAATCTGATTCAGCATCACGAAACTGATAATGCATGAAGCAACAATAAAATTACAAATAGCAGCATTTTAAATTTTCACAAAATGTCTGTTTTCAGCTATACCTGCACGTTCATAACCAACAATATAAACCGTGATTTCATGTAACACATAAGCTATTCATGCCTTTCATAGTTTATTATTATTAAAGTCTAAACAAAATTGCAATTTCTTAGGTAACAAATCTTTTGTTTATAGTTAAAGATTACTCTCAAATGCTAGAAGCTGTCTAGGTCTATCTGATGTGTCAGATTTTTTCCAGATTAGATGTGCCAATAATGAAGTTTATTCAGTAAACAACTTATACTTGTTTCATCTGGTTTTATTGCTCTCACCCATAAACAGTAATGACTCTCTGACCCTCTGGAAATATTTAACGCTTACAATCTTGCTTTGTGTATCTCATTTAATTTGTTATAAGGTAATACTGATTTTAGCATATTAATTGATTTCTTCATTGTTTGCTTTGGTCTGTTCAATCCGGAGAGGTTTTCAGAGTTCCCTAACCAGTCCTAAATATGTAAATTGTCATTATTTTGGGAAGAAAAACCTGTATTTTTGTTAGTTTACAATATTATGACATTTCACTTCAGGAGAACCTGTTGGGCTTCCTGTGGCTTTGTTTTCTTAGTTTCTTTTTCTGTGTATTTTTAAATTGATTTTTCTTCTTTTACTTGAAAAGAGTGTTTTATTTTCAAATCTGGTCCATATTTACATTCTAGTTCAGAGCCAAGCCTTACACTGTACAGAATTTACAGTCATTAAAACTATTTAGTGTTATAAATAGTCTTCAAAAAGAGAGATTCTCCATTACACAGTCACCTGCATCACAGCCCATGGTGAATGTATGTTTCTGCATAGCAAAATAAAAACGGAAAATGCACTGAAAAAAAAAAAAGAACAGTAATGTATAAAATTATCATATCATTTTTTTCTTTGTCTTGGGAAATATAATTATTTCAACAGACCAGAAAACTAAGCAGTATGATTAGCATATTATTTTAAAGTCAGAAACTGTAGGAAGTCAAACAATAAGCAAAAGGTGGCTTGACGAGTGTGGAATCAGTATCCTATTTGGATGTGGAATTGCATCAAGCTAATCCGTGCTATGCTCGTCACCACAATGGAGTGACGAATGCCAATGGCGCTGCAATACCAACGATTGGCTGAAACTCCTTCTGACTTCACATGTGCTTGGATGGTCAACATGCTAAGTATTTGTGTCTCACCAGATTTTCTTCTGGTTGTCTCATCTTTCTTTAGTTAATGAAAATTAATAAGATTTTAATTAAGTATAACCTATCTGAGAAGAATGCTAACATTGATACAATATGCTCAACTTTCTCTCTCAAGGTATAAACAAGCCTGAAAGTTCAAAATCTGCCTTGGTTCTATGTCTTGCCTGGTATCAAATATCATTTTTAATTTCTTAAAGCCAAAAGAATTTTTTAACAATTAATAGAAAGCAATAAAAATAGCCAACAGTGTATATAGGTGTGTTAAATGTACATATTTAAACTATCACAGTATCTCCAATGTGTTTTCTTCTATATACATATGGATAGGGCCAGGCACAGTGGCTCACCCCTGTAATCTCAGCACTTTGGGTGGCCCAGGTGGGGTGGATCGCTTGAGCCCAGAAGTTCGAGACCAACCGAGGCAACATGGCAAGTCTCTGTCTCTACAAAAAATAAAAAATATTAGCCAGGCATGGTGGTGGACGCCCATATTTCCAGCTACTTGGGATGCTGAGGATGACTTGAGCCTTGGAGATCAGAAATGCTGTGAGCCATGATTGTGTGGCTGCACTTCAAACTGGATGACAGAGCAAGACCCTGTTTCAAAAATCAAATAAAGTAATAAAAACTAAATAAATAGGTAAATAAATAATTAGATACTGGTAACTCATTCACAGTGAAACAGAACAGAAAGCCCCCAAATAAACCATGAATATAAGATGAATTGACCTTTGATAAGGGTGCCAAAAATACACTATCAGGAGAAGGTGATTTCTTTAAGAAATGGTATTGGAAAAACTGGATGCAAAAATAAACAAAACTATACCTCTACCTTATACCACACTCATAATTAAATCAAAATTAATTGAAAACTTACTTAAATATAAAACCTGAAACTGTACAACTTCTAGAGGAAAAGCTTCTTGTCATTTGCCTTGGCAATTATTCTTGCATGTGTCACCAGAAGGAAAGGCAGCAAAAGCCAAAAATATTCAAGTGGGACTACAACTAACGAAAAAGCAAGAGAAAAATCAACCTAAGGAAAGTTAATCAAAAAATGAGAAGGTAACCTATGAAATGGTAAAAAAGAAATGGAAATTACATATCTGGTAAGTTGTTAATTTGCAAAATACATTTAAAAACTCCTAGAATAGCAAAAACAACAAATAGCAACACAAAAACTCCTATACTGAATAGCAAAAACAATAAATAGCAACAAAAAAACCGAATAATCTAATTGAAAAATGGCCAAAGGATGTGAACAGAAATTTCCCCATTTAAAGGCCCAACAGGTGGATAAAAAGATGCTCCATATTATTAATTACCAGGAAAATGCAAATCAAAACTGCAGTGAGATACCACCATACCCCTGTTAGGATTCCTATTATCAAAAAAGCAAAAGATAAGCTGAGGACGTGAGAAAATGGAACTCTTATATACTATTAGTGAGAAAGAATCATGCAGCCAGTGTGATGGAAAACACGGTTAAGGTTCCTCAAAACGTTTTAAATGAATTAGTATATGACCCAGCAATTTCTCTTCTATGGATATATCCAAAATAATTCAAATCAGAATCTAGAAGTGATATCTGCACTCCCATATTTATTGCCACATTATTCACCACAGCCAGGATACGGGGAAAAAAACAGTGTCCCTCAACAGGTGAATGGATAAAAATGTGAAATATGCAGTCAATGAGAATGTACAGTAGAGTATCATTAAGCCTAAAAAGGAAGAAAATTAGCCATTTGTAGCAACAAAGATTAACTTGAAAGGCATTATGCTAAGTGAAATAAGCCAGTCACAGAAGTATAAACAGTGTATGATTCCACTTTATATAAGGCGTTTAAAATAGTCAAACTCATAGAAGCAGAGACTATAATAGTGACTTCCGGGGACTGGGAGGTGAGAGAAATGGTTGTGGATCAATAAATATAAAATTGTCATTATGCTAATTGTAGTTATGCTAGATAAATTAGTTCTAGAGATCTGTTGTACAGCCTAGCACCTGTGGTTAAAAACATAGCGTTGTGCACCTCAAAATTGTAAGGAGGATAAACATCATGTTAAAGATTCTTACCACAGTTAGACACACACAGAAAAAGAAAAAAAAAGAAAAAGGAACACCAAGAAAATATGGAAGGTGTTGGATCTACTGCCTTGATTGTGGTGGTGCTATCACAGGTGCTTGCATATGTCCAAACTCATCTTTAGCATAAATGCATTAGATGTGTGCATTTCTTTGTACATCAATTATATTTTTTTCCCATTTCATTTTATTTTTTCATGCATGGGAAAACTGAGGCACAGAGAGGTAAAGTGACGTGTTCAGGTCACGTAGCAAGTTAGTGACAGATCCAGGGAGAGAATCTAGGCTTCTTGACCCCCAAACACCTTGTGTTTACCATCAAACACCATTCCCTCTCCAACCATGGCCAGGCAAACCCGCAGAAATAGGAACTACAAATGTAGATGATTCTCTTTTATCCATTTTCATCTGCTGTTACATTAGTATTATGTGCACGGAACTACGGTTTTGAAATTCAATGGCTTCATCGATACCTCAAAGAACAGCCTAAAGGCAAATGTTTCAAAAATAATGAGCTGACACATAAGAAGACTGCTCACAGTTAGTGTAAAATTATGGACAATGGGCAGAGGCACTCAACTGTTACCAGTTCTTGTCATATAATTCTGGTCAAACATAACAGAATACAGTAACTCTAGTGATTAGAAGTAGTTATATACAAAGACAAACAAGTTAAAGCAGCCTTTAAAATAGCTGAACAAGAAAACAGCTAACTATTGCACAATGCCCTCTTAAAGTTACTGCTATGAATTGACCTAGTAAAATCTACAATGCTCCATAATTTATAGGTGCATTTTGGTTACTTGATTTCTTATACAGGCAGCTCATGGTGTTAAAATTATAAGAAATACAGATTATTAAAGCATTTTAGATTAAAGTACACATTTTAATTTAAATGAGCTGAACAGTTAAATAACTGAGTGACAAAATGGTAGTTTAGGGCAGTCTTATCTGAGTGAACACACCTTCTATATGTTGCTGTTGCTTTGTGCTAATGCTCTTGACAAAACTGAAATCCTAGCCCTGTAACTACACACGCTGTGATTCATGTTTACAGATATAGATGAGCAAGACATAAGGAGTGACTGGTGAATATAAATTACTAAACTGTAACAAAAACAAAACTCAAAGGCTTGCAAAAGACATCAGTGTGAAAATAGAATGAAGGTAAATCTGAAAATTTAAAGAAAAACTAAGAATAAGAATAAGAAAAACTAAAAAATAAGAAAGCTAGCTTTTGGTATCTGGCTTGTGTTTTTTTTCTTTAAAAAAAAAAATCCAGTTTAATCTCTTCCTAGTTTTGCATTTCAAAAAGGTGCACCAAAACACTGACATTTTTGTTTCCAGCTAAATCTGTAAAACAGAGAGAACTGACTCCAATTTCATTTATTGCCTGAATTCTGATCCGGTGGGTGGTTTCTGGAAGGAGATCTTTCATAACGTGGGAGGTGGTGTTGCCCACGGTACTGCTAGTGTCTCCAAGATCAATGTTGTAAGCAAGGATTTCAGATCCCTTATTGCACGGCTCTTCCCAGTTCAGTACAAGGCACACAGAAGGTGAATCAGGGTGGGCATTGAGGGGCTTCTCCTCCAGGACGCAGAGAGTGCAGACAGGGTCAGGGGAAGACGCTGGTGTCTGGCAGAGGACAAGTTCACTGTACAGCCCTGCTCCTGCTTGATTGAAGGCCTGTAGTCTACAGCAATATTGTGCAGCAGGCAACAGGTCTCTTATTTCAAAATGGGTGTCTGTCCCATGATAAATGACTTCTAAGGATTCTTCATCTTCTCCCCATTCCAACCTGTACTCTGAGATGTCAGCACCGGAACTATCAGGACTCTCCCAGGTCACTAAGACACATCCATCAGGTGTAAAGGAAATACATGGTGCTTTGCACTGTCCAGGGGGTCCTGCAGCAGCGGTGATTTCTGAGAGCTCAGAATAGGGACCATACCCTCCGTCATTCAGAGCCCTCACCCTGAAGCGATACACGGTTCCGGGAAGCAGGTTGCCAACGGTGCACTCCAGCTCTGGGCCGTGGTACACCTCAGAGGCTACGTCTTCAGGCTCCGTCATCTCCACGCTGTACTCTGAGACCTCACAGCCACTTTCAGATGCAGGAACATCCCACTCTAAGTGGACTTCTTTGTGCTTCGGTCTACCCAGCACCCTCGGTGGTCAACACTGACCTGGTGCGATGCTTAGTGTGTGAACAGGGAGACTTTCAGAACACTGACTGTGTCCGCCAGTACTGATAGAGCATGCTCGGAGTTTGTACAAAGTGCCTGGTTTCAAGTGGGTGAAGGTATATTCGGTAGCTGACCCACTGGACGACACTTCCCACTGATTCGCTTCAGAATTTCCATCAGTAATCTCTAGCAAGTACTTGAGGATTTCCGAACCACCATTGTCCTTAGGAGGATCCCATTTGACACTAAAGCCATGAGATGTAACTGGGCCTTTGACAAGTGGTCTGGTAGGAGGTCCGGGCCTGTCAGGACTTGTCATACAAACAAGGACTTCGCTTGGACAGCTTCTTCCTTCCACAGTAGAAGCGGTCAGCCTGAATTTATACTGTGTGCTGCTTTTGAGATTTTTCACAGTACAGGTTAAATCCTCTCCAGTGTATTTTGGGTGGAAAGGGTTATCATTTTCATCCTCCTGAATTTCCAAGGTGTAAGTGACCATCTCCTCGGGTGAACAGCCCTCTGGCTTACTCCACTGCAATGTGACCCATGTGATGCCAGCTCGAACCAGCCTTGGCACAGAAGGCATCTGAGGGATGTTTCCTAATGTGCAGCACACCACCTCTTGGCTGTAACCACTGGTGCCAATGTCGTTTCCAGCAGCCAGCCTGAACGTGTACCCCATTGCCCGGCAAACTTTGTCAACTTGCAGTGTTTCTGGCTCCCAAAGAAGCACTGTCTGAAACCACTGTTCCTTTTTCCCTCATCCCACTCTAAAAGGTAGTTGGTGATTTTTGAACCATTGTCAACTGGTGCCTTCCACTGCAGGGTTAGTGAACTTTTGCTCCTGTGGCCAGCTTAGGAGGGATAGGACACTCGGGTGCACAGCTGTGGGTGGTGAAGCTAACAGGCTTGGAGCAGGATCCCTTTATGGAATTGTACGTGGCAGACACCCTCACGTGATAATCCGTTGCTGGTGTAAGATCTTTCAGGTTACATTCTAATTCTTCTCCACTGTAAATTATCTTGTATTTTCCATCCCGTCCTTTGTCTGTTAAGGCAACCTCGTAACTGTAGGGGAAGGAAAGACCACTGTGGGGTCCACAAGAAAGTCCAAGGCGGGGAGCCCAGGACGACACAACTGCTCTCGCCTGAATATTAGAAACCTGTGGTTTCTCTATTCCCGAAAGAATGCCTCACGCCCTCTTTACTTCCAACTCATATTCTTGCAAGTCTGAATCATTCGACTTCGGGCTGCTTCTTGCTCCCCGCTCTGTTTTCTGAATTCCGGGACCACCAGCGCTGCCGCTTCCGCCACGGCTGCCGCTGTGGCCCTTCCCGTAGCCATTGTACACTGTCGTGTAGCTGCTTTTGTAGATAGAGGAAGGAGGGCTGCTGAGGCGGTTCTGGCGATCGATCTGGCAGTCTTTCAGTTTTTTTGTGCAGAGGCTTGCCATTCCATACAGTGGTATAATTTCTTGCTCCCCGTATATCGTGTGGGGAAGATGATGCTGGGTAAAAACTGAGGCAGTGTATCTCCAGGTCTGGTAACAGGCGGGTAGTAAGCTGTGTGTGAGTTATGAATCAAATGTGGTTGATGAGTCAGATAGGGAGGGAGACGATGGGTTGGAGACATGGCTGAGGGGTAGCTTGGGGGATAACACTCAGGAGACTGGGGTGTGACCACCACCCTGCGGCCGCCAGTACTGTCTTCGGTCACCTGTGAGATATAACCTGGAGGCACATGAATGGGAGGAATGGATCCATTGGGTGACATCATGGGAACTTCAGCAGGTCCTTGAATGCACTGAAGTGTTCCATCCTCCGCTTTTATTGTAAAAGTCTCACCTGGATTAACTTGAACGAGAATAACCTGCTGAGCTGCGTCTCCATTCACCAAGTGGGGCATCAGGGCGACCTCTCCATTCACCAATGGTGGCAGTTCCAGAGGGATTTGGTCGGTCATGTACATTCATGGAGAACTTCCCTCAACTGGCTTTCCTTCCCTAGGGCTGAAACGTGGGGCTCCGGGCGCACCACACACCGGGTCGCGCACGCCTTCCCAGCCGGCAGCCCCCGAGGATCCCTGCCGCCCCGTTCGTTGCTCCCGCTGCCGCCGCCGCTGCCACCACCGCCACCGCTCCCAATTATATGTTAATAGCAAGCATACATATGCTTAACATATGTTGCATTGGATTATTAAAACACATGAGTGCCATTATGGAAATTTTATCCTTCTTCATGTTTTCTCAAATAACAGTTAATATTCAGCTACTATTTCACCAATGACCTCACACCCTGATATGTAAGTGAAGAGGCAAATCAAGATAGAGAATAACTCAATGTGCTAAGTGAAGTGTGAGCAGACAGAAAAATGATAAACAGGTTTAATGGCAGGTGTGGAATATGGAAGAGGAAAGACTTTCTATTTTTTGAAAACCACTGCAGCCTTTGCAAATACATTCTATGTTCAACTTGCATACATCATTTTCTATCAGTTTCTCTCTGAAAATTTTGAAAATAATTTTTATTTCTTTTTGAAATTAAAAAATTATGTTTTAAAAATTTCTCTGATAGGGATCACAGTCTATTATGTTATATTTTCTAAATAATTCATTATTTAATTCACTCTTAAATAATGAACACATTTATGCTGTTTTTTCTATTAGCAATTACCATCTCTGATATTCAATTCACAAGCTGTTCAGAGCATACTTTGATGGCTCTGCCTTTCTATTACTGCTCCTCAATTTCCTCCTTAGAAGTTATGTCTCAGATTATGAAAAATTGCGTGATATATAGGTGATTTTGTGTAACAGAGTGGTATCCAAGGGAAATAAAGAATGAAAGACAGTGCATCAGTTCTACCTTTGCATTCACAAAAATCTTGACCTGAGCCAGGATGCATGAATTTAGCATTTTTCCTTCATAGCTACACAAGGAATTTCTGGTAGTCTCTGTAAGATTGCAGTTAGCTAGAAATACCAGGCTTATAATATGATACCCAAATGAGTTTTCGAAAAGCGTAAGAATATAGTAAGTTACAAACATGATTGACACCCAATGCTAATGCAACAGCTGTTTGCCCTCATATTATTCATTCCTTTGTTCATTGTATGTTTACACCGTTTCACAGATAAGTTATTAAGAGATTATCAACAGATTAGTTTCCTGTAAATTATTATTTTTCTTAATGGCTTTTTTTTTTAAAGAAAAAAGTTAAAATTTGCCTAAGGTCTTAACTATAGCTGCAGTCACACAGTAAAATTATTTAAGAAATATTTTTGATTTATGACTGAATGATCAGTTTCCTTAATTTTAACTGTGCCTCTTGAGCTAATAAAAAATGCCATATTTTAAAAATATGCAGATTTATTTGGTAAAAACACTTAACATGAGATCCACCCTTTTAACAAAATAGTAAGTGTGTAGTACGACAGGAGCAATAGGCACAATATTGCACAACAGTTCTCTAGAATTTATTCATGTTGACTGAAACTGTATTTTATTGAATAATAACTCCCATTTCCCCCTGCCACTGACAACCACTATTTAACTCTTTGATGAAATGAATTTGACTATTTTAGATACCTTATCTGAGTAGAATCACACACTATTTGTGCTACTGTGACTGCAGTATATCCCTTAGCATAATGCTCTCAAGGTTCATTCATGTTACTGCATATTTCAGAATTTCCTTCTATTTTAAGGCTACATAGTATTTCACTGTATGTATATATTACACTTCATTCATCTGTGGATGAACATTTATGTTGTTTTCATGTCTTGACTATTGTGAATAGTGCTTCAGCGAACATGGGAATGCTATCTTTTTAACACTTTATTTTTAATTATTTACATACTCAAGAGAGGAATTGTTGGGTTCTATGGAAATCCTATTTTTAATTTTTTGAGAAATTTCCATATTGTTTTACATAGTGGGTGCAACAGTTTGCATCCCCAATAGTGTGCGAGGGTTTCCATTTCTCCACATCCTTCTCAATATGTGTAGTCTTGTGCGTGTGTGTGTCTCAGGATAATAACCATTCTGATAGGCATGAGGTGATATCTCATCATGGTTTTCATTTACATTTCCTTCATGATGAATGACATTGATATTAGTTCATCATTTGTACGTCTCTAGAGAAATGTATTAAAGTTATTTGTTCATCTTTAAAAATTGGAGTTACTAGGTTTGTTTCTTTTTGCTATTGAATTGTAAATGTTCTTATACAATTTGAAGAGTAATAAAAAATGATAGTATTGGCATAGTGACAGTCATATAGACCAAGGAAACAGAACTGTGAGACCAGAAATCACTCTATGCATACACAGTCAAATGATCTCTGACAAGAATGCCAACAACACATAACAAGGTAAGGGAAGTCTCTTTGAGAAATCATTTTGGGAAAATTGGGTATTCATGGGCAAAAAAAGAAATGGAACCTTACCATAAGACCATACACAAATATGAAATTACTGTAGATTAAAGACTTAAACGTAAGATCTGAAACTGTAAAAGTCCTGGAAGAAAACACAGGGGAAACGTTTCCTCATATTATCAGGGGCAGTCATTTATTGCATATGACCCCAAAAGCACAGACAAACGCAAAAGTCAACAAGTGGGATGTCAGCAAACCAAAAAGCTTCCATACTGCAAAGGAAACAACACAGTGAAAAGCCACCTCACGCCTATATAAATGGGAAAAATTTGCAAAGTATATATTCACCTTATTAATGGCTTAAAGTCAACCTTTCATACACACAAGCTTTCAAAGAAAGTTGAAGCCTTTACTTAGTAAGATACACCACTGAAGCAGAAATGAATGTTTTATGCTAAAGCAACTATTAGTCCTACCAAAAGTCAACACGTGTGCATGCACACACGCATACCTGTAGCTTTTGATGTGGATGTTATTAACAACCACTAGAAAGAAAATGAATTCTGATAACAAATCTGCGTGAAAACACCTCGAAGCCTGCTGTACTGATTGCAAGGCTGCCTTGCCAAAAGCAAACACTGCTGTGAGAAGGGGAGCAAGCCTGTCATTTCTTTCAGTTTGTTTACCTAAATTTTAAATTACTCCTTCTCAAAGAATCATTAAGTTTTGTTTGTCAATTGTTGAAACTTATGTTGGAGAAAGCTGTTATGTCCCCGAATCTTTCTCTCCAGATGTACAATGTTGTACTTAACAGATGGGATAAAGCAATTTACAAATAATTCCAAATTACACTGTGTTTGCATTTCACAAAAGTAAAATGCTGCATTTTGATTAGAAGCTAACCTATTCAAGACATTTTATGAATAGCTGTACTCGGACGATCAATATGGTCATTTTGGAGGAATATAAGTTTATATTAGACAAATTTCTAATGGTAATGCAAAACTATTTGTTATCTTATAGCTGAGAGAACCAGTCATCATGATACATTTGATTATTTTAAGGATTGTTCTGAAAAACTCATCTCTCATCTCAGATTATAGATTTATTTATGTTAATAAATGCAGTAGTCTGGACTCATCAAGTACAGCGTTGACACTGGCAGCTTCCAATTGCATGTTTCCTCAAAAACTATGGCCTTTGAGAACTTAATATTTTATTTCTCATTACATTTTATTAAATATTGTTGCTGATTTTTAATAATTTTTCAGCATTTCAATGATATCTACATATCAATCAAAATGTGCCAATATCATTTTTATTGATTAATATGAGCAAGAATGTGCTCTACTTTTTAAAGTATTTAAAGCAGGACTTCTATTAAAATTCACAAGTGTTTCCTGTATCACCCAGCACATCTTCTTACAATAGTAGCTTCAGTGAAAATTCTTTGATTCAACTGGCTATAAAAAAATAATAATGACAGTAATAACTACAATTAATCACTTGTACATTTGTGCCTTAGTAATAGTAAGCTGAGCATTAATAATTTTCAAGGCACTGCATACAGATTGCCTGGTTTAATTCACTATACACCGTATACAGCTGCTGTTAGTATTTTAATAGTGATTTTTACAGGTAAAAAGATCCATTTGGAGAGACAAGATTTAGAGGTTTTGAGATTTAAAAAAATATTTTGAGCCTCTATTTCTTTATTCTCTCTATTCTTTTTTCTTAAGATAACTTCCTCTTCTCTCCACTTCCCAAGAATGCAGCTACTCTTAAAATATCTGTTTCCACAATATAGTTTACTATGCAGAATTGTTTATTCAGCTTTAACCTCATGTTTTCAGAGATGACGTCTAATTGGCTTATTGTATAGCTTTGCTCCTGTGACAATAAACTATAGCAAGTGTATATCATCGTGTGTCTGTGTCTTAGGCAGAAGAGGGGTGTCTTACTGAATTAACAAAGCAAATGAGAGACCACCCATGTTCAATAGTTTGAAACTGTGGTGGTAGGTCTAAAGGTCGAGACTGGGCCAGGCGCGGTGGCTCAAGCCTGTAATGCCAGCACTTTGGGAGGCCGAGGCGGGTGGATCACGAGGTCAACAGATCGAGACCATCCTGGTCAACATGGTGAAACCCCATCTCTACTAAAAATTACAAAAAATTAGCTGGGCACGGTGGCGCGTGCCTGTAATCCCAGCTACTCAGGAGGCGGAGGCAGGAGAATTGCCTGAACGGGGGGGGGGGGGGGGGGGCGCGGGCGGGCGGGCGGAGGTTGCGGTGAGCCGAGATTGCGCCATTGCACTCCATCCTGGGTAACAAGAGTGAAACTCCGTCTCAAAAAAAATAAAAAAAACAAAGGTCGAGACTGTTTTAGTAATGAGTAGAATTGAGTTATTACAGCCTCTAAGATTTTCCTTTTTTATTGAGATACAATTTACATATAACAAAATGTCATGATCTGAAGTGTTGGGTTTGAAAAGTTTGGCTAGTAGTATATACCTATGTACCCAAACCCAAGTGAAGTGAAGCTATACAGTGAAGATACGTAGCATTTCCACAGCGAGAAATTTCTGTGCTTGTTGTGTCTTTTCCAGTCGCTTTCTCCCAGGTCTTGAAACAAGCATTTTCTTACTTTTATCACTGTAATCTCTCAGTTCTAAAGCTTCGTATCAGTAGAACCATATGGTTCTATTTTTGGTTTCTCATATCCAAATACTTTTGAGATTCATTCATATTGTTTCA